TGGGGACCAGTGCCGGGGCGTTCTCTCCCTGGTTCAAGCGTTGTCGTACGCTATGGTCCTCTCGGTAGGGCGTCTCTGTTCCGGGACGATGCCGCCGGCTGCAAAGCGCTGTGTGGAGTGGCTCCCCGCGTACAGCAGGGTCCAGGGCGTCGATGGGGAGAGAACGGTGTGGGGGCCCATGAGACAGTCCCATGGGATCCGTATGTTGGCGAAACACTCCTCCTCTTCTGCCGTCGGGTTGTGGGTTGTCGACCTTTTGGTGGTCACGGAGATGGCAGGCAATATTGTCTGAAAGCCGTTTTTGTTCGTTCTTTCCGTCCCAGGTCTTTCCAGAAACCAGAAATTTGACTAGAAACAACAACCCTGTAAACCAATCAGGATACGTTACTAATATGAGATCACAGAGAAACCGTACTCAACAAAACCAACAATATAATAATAATCCCCTTTCAAATACAATAATTAATCATATATCTTCCTGTATTATTAACTTCTTGCACTGCCTCACACCATCAATAATCAATTCAATTCAGAATACGGTAACAACATTTTTAATAACAATAATGTCAACACTAGCTCATAGAAATCTATCATTAACAAATTAGAATGCAAATGGGATCACATCCGAAAAAAGTAGAACTTACTCAATATTTACACACATATAACATGGACATTGCATGCATAACAAAGAACCGAACATAAAGGAGGTTGTGTACTTTTAGCAGGAATAATATAATTCATCATGAAATTAATATACCAAACATCACAGGAATTGAAACAGTGTCAATAACCCTAACAATGAACAATGAATCATGGAATATAATAGCTGCCTATAAACCTCAGTCAATAATAATACAACCCCCAAAATATTCTTAATCTATTCACCCCAAACAAAAAAAAATTAATACTCGGTTATCTAAACTCCAAACACACAAACTAGGGATGTCGCACTTGCAACAAAGCAAGAAAAACACTATCAAAAAATTATAAACAATACTACTATCAATATACTATCGCCTCCTGAACCAACGTACTACCCAAGAGACGTAACAGAGCAACCAGACATCCTTGACATCGGACTGACTAACGGCATATCCATTTTTACTCAACTCCGTATCACGAACTCGACTCTATCTTCCGGTAAATATACTTACTCGACAAATCCCACCCCCGCGTCCCCCAATCCCCAAAATAAACACACTTAAATTAAACTGGATTAAATCCTAAAATATAAGCAGCAATTTAATACCAAAAATTAAAACTTTAAATAATTCTATAGAAATAGACAACGACGTAATATTACTAAACACCATAATACATACAGCAATAACAGAAACGCAGCCCACAAATACACATACACACAACAAAATTAATCATTCTGCTCTAGCAGCAGAAATCGAAAACATAATAAGCGTCAAAAACAAGACCAGAAGACTATGGAACCAACCCACAAATAAACACATTAACTAATATAGTTAAGAAATCAATAAAAAACACACAAATATTAAAAAAGAAAACAATAATTCCACCCTCAACTCACCGAAAGGAAAGTTATTCACTCCCACCGACAAGGCAGAGGAAATAGCCAATTACTTTGAGTCGACTTTCACACTCAACCAAACAAACCGCACCCGGAACACAACACATGCAAAAACCTCCCAAAACTACGTCCAATATCATTTATTATATATATAATAATATATATATATATATATATATATATATATATATATATATATATATATATTATTGCTTCAGAACAAATCATTTTTCATCCACTTGGAAGCATGCCATTATTCTTGCGGTTCCGAAACCAAATAAAAATTCAGCCAACACCGATAGCTATCGCCCAATAAGTCTTCTACCATCTCTGCCTAAACTTTTTGAAAAAAATAATACTCCAACGACTTAAAAATCACAAACAAATAACAAAAGCAATACCAAGAGAGCAGATTGGATTCAATGATCATATGTCCACATAACACCAACTCCTCAGAATCACAGAACATCTCAATATAGCATTTTAGAAAAACATCACATAATAGTCATATCACTCGATATAACACAGGCATTTGATAGAGTATGGCACCAAGCACTAATATATAAATTAAAGAAAATAGGTACGCCACACTACATCACCTCAGTAATTCAAAACTATTTATCCAACAGAGCCTTTGCAGTAACAATCAACAAATATCAATCAAATCCCAGGTTAATTAAATCCATACAAGGATCCCCCCTATCAACCACACTGTTTAATCTCTATGAAGCACACATCCCCATAAATGCAACGGTAGAAACAGCACAGTTTGCAAATGACACACTTATCTTCTCTCCAGCCACTCTCTAATCAGTATTAAAAACCACATACAACTGTATCTAAACCAAATAGACATTTGGTCATCCAAATTAAAAATAAAATTAAACCCAAACAAAACTGCAGCAAAAATATTCTCTTTAAGCCAATACACTTCACCAACCTCACTAACATTAAATAATAAGCCCCTCCCGTGGTACCTACCAAATAAACTCATAAAATATCTTGGACTGCACATGGACACCAAAATGAATTGGAAACAGCATATAGACAAAAATAATACAAACAAAAAACAAACTGCATCAATTAAAAACTCGAATAAATAGAAATAATTACCTCCCATACAAAACAGCAATAACTTTATTCAAAACAATAATCAGACCTACTCTTCTCTAGCCTCCCAAGTATGGATCAATGCGCAAAAAACAAACATCAACAAAAGTTCAAATAACACAACCAATCCTCGTACACACTAAATTGCATCTTGTATATCTAATCATCAATTACATAATGAATTTAACCTTCAATTCCCATCACGCATCACACCATTTTACCTACCACAATTTCTTCTCTAATATACACCATATCCAAACCTTATCTTCATTCAAACTTTGTAAAAACCCCATCCATCCCACTTGTATAAAAAATAAATATTTATTCTACATATTATGTAAATTGTTCTGAGATCTGGAATAGATTCTATGAGGTGCCATTATGGTTTCCTCAACCTCAAAAGTAGTGTTAAGTTATGATAAGTTTAGGATAAGTTAAGTTATAAGTCATCAATACATATGTAAAGTTATCAAAACTGTACTATGTACAAAACAATCCAATAAATAAATAATAAAATATGAGGGACCGAACGGAAGGCGTTTGCGATGTCCAGTTGGGCGAGGCTCAGATTGGCCCGCCCTGTTGTGGCGTGCAGGAATTCTCGGCTGAGGAAGAGATATAGTAGCCCGTTTTTATTTTGCATATTATAATTAAAAGAAGAACAAAAGTCGTCAGCACCGCGCGCGTGTCCGTCAAGAATATTACAAGTCATAGAAATTAGAATGGTAACTGGGCCATGAAATTAACCTTAAGTGAATAAATATTCTAAATTAATCACATGAATATTACTTCTGCGATTAATCAATTAATCTATCACAATCTTATTAAATAAATCTAATAATAAATTATTAATCACCTGGATCTACTATTACCTAGATATACAGTTTCTGGTGTAGGGTGTTGCACTTCACAGTTGTGTTGAAACCGCTAAAGCCGAATTACATTATGAAATATTACTTGGAAATGCTGCATAGTGCTTCCGCTAGAAAGAATGAAGTTCAAGAAGTTTCGAAATCTATTATATATAACGTCACTAGAGATGAATAGATTTTTGAAAGCGCTCACCTAAGCATAAGTACAGTGACCAATCAAAATTTAGTGCGATATTCGACAAGAATTTGCGTGGCGAAAAACGGAAACTGCCATTTTCGCGACATCTGGATGATGAACGTCGAGTGCCACGCAGAGCTACGGAGAAGCAGAGTTTGGTCGAGAAAATAATTGAAGCTTGATAAAGGTAAAACTATCACAATCTATATAAAATCTCTCAATCTGTGGAATATGTAGCGGAATTGAAATACTATGTGATGCTGGATTAAATGAAGTTGTATAAAACGATCAAAAACCATACGATATTCACCACTGAAATCTCGTATATTTCTGCAAACATTTAAGGAATGAAATAGGATAGCATAGAAGTATGTTCCCTTTTATTTCAGCTTTTATTTTGTTATATTTTAATCTAAATGTTCTATTTTATTATTTATTGTATTATAACTGTATTCAAGTCTTATCTGTTCGTCACCTGGTAAATGTATACGGTGAACGGAATAAGAGAGGAAGGTACATTTCTTGGCGAGTCAACCCCCAAACGAGTGAAGAATTCAAGGAGAGAATACGAAGACTGGAAATATTTCAACGAATCTGTACGAACGCAGTCTTCGACACCGAAAATATCTGCCAGCTACAACCTACTTACGGACTGTTATACCAAAGTGCGCGGGTTCAAACCCAATCGAAGCCGTGAATTTTTAAGGGCGAGAAAATCCGTCGTACGCCTTCCTTCGGAGGGGAAGCAAAGCCGACTGAAGCCTAAATGACGCCTCTGAGCTAAATTCAAATCGCC